GCTCTGAGACAGCTTCTCGAAGAGTGTCTCCCGAAAGATGTCCAGCAAGGACCAACCGTGCTTGTCGGCCGCCCGCCCCGGGCTCTTGGGCAGAGAGAAGGGGAATTGTGAGCGCAGGAGGAGCGGGCGCCGGAACCGGGGAGCTGGAGAGGAGCTGCCCACCCCTATCCCCACGCCGTGCCACCCTCTGGGACGCAGCCCGAGGCCCAGTGCCACACTTACATAGAAGGCTTGCTCCCGCAGGGACGGCGTGTCGGGCGGGCTCTGGTTATAGGTGGAGAACCTCTTGTTCACCGTGGAGGCCTTGTTGACGGTGCTGGCTGCCGAGGGCTGGTCGTCCTTGTCGAAGGGGCTGGGGAGGAGAGCAGGGAGGTGAGGGGTGTGTGCCAGCCCGTGAGGGGGTCTCGACTCTGCTCTGCAGTGAGGTCCCCAGGACTTCGTCCAGTCCAGCTCTGGTTTTCCATCATTGCAGCCCTGTTTTGGGATGGGCACCCCCAGCCCTGCCACGCACTACCAGCAATGCCTGCCGAGATACTCACTTCCAGGTCACCTCCAGGCTGAGCTTGAGGGTGCCCAGGTCATTGATATCCACAGCCACAACCTGGGGCAGGGCTGCAAAAAGGTCCTTGGTCTCGCAGGACACGTTGCCCACCACAACATGGTTTGCCAGGCTCTTTAGCTCTGTCACCTGGGGAAGGAGAGGGAGGAGAAGATGAGGTGAGGCCAGGTGCTTCATCTTCTCGACACGGTTCGCATCCATGCCGTGTGCCAGGATGCCACCACCCAGACAGCCTCCTCCCACCCCGGTGAAGTTCAGGTGAGGTCCAGGAGCGCAGCCCTGCCAGGATGCAGGGGGGGTAGCTGGCCCACACCATCCCTGCCCACTCCTCCACTGTACCTTGATGGAGAGGAACTCGGTGACGAGGGGCAAGAAGACCATTTCCTCGCTGTCCCACACCTGCTTGCTGTTCACCTCAATGCGGCCCCGCAGCTTCCACCGCTGCCGTCCGTACTTCATGAAGATCTGGGGACGCAGAGGCGTGGGTAAGGGGGAGAAACAGCACCGGGGTGGTGGGTGCTCTCTGTGTGTCCCTGGGCACGGCCAGGGACCCCCACCACCCACCACCACCCTGCCACACGCCCTCCGCGCCAGCACCCCGGCACCCCAAGGACCACAGGGCAGCAGAAGCGCAGATCCCAACCCCTGCCGTCCCACCAACCTCATACTGGTCACCAGCACAGAGCCGGGCAAAGCCTGCCAGTCCTGCAAGAGAAGGCGGAGGGGCGTCAGCGGGCAGCAGGCGGGCAGGCAGCAGGCCAGGGACGGAGCGGGACGTGTTTACCTTTCATCCGGACGTGGAACTCGCCCAGCTGGCTCTCCAGCTCGTTCTCCAGCAGACACATGTTCTGGGGACAGACAGACAGACAGCACCCATCAGCAGCCACCCATGCAACGGGGCTGGGGAGGGGTCTGGAGAACAAGTTTGAGGAGGAGCAGCTGAGGGAGCTGGGGCTGTTCAGTCTGGAGAAGAAGAGGCTGAGGGGGGACCTCATCACACTCTACAACCACCTGAGAGGAGGTTGTAGCAGGGTGGGTGTTGGTCTCTTCTCCCAAGTAACCAGCAATAGGATGAGGGGAAATGGCCTCAAGTTGTGTCAGGGGAGGTTTAGATTGGAGATGAGGAAAAACGTCTTTACTGAAAGAGTGGTCGGGTGTTGGGCCAGGCTGCCCAGGGCAGTGGTGGAGTCCCCATCCCTGGAGGGGCTCAGAAAAGGTGTGGGTGTGGCACTTGGGGACATGGTTTAGCAGGCGTGGTGGGGTTGGGGTGATGGCTGGACGTGATGATCTTAGAGGCCTTTTCCAACCTTAACGATTCTGTGTGGGACCCAGCACCCTGCCAGCCCAGCCCAGCCGGCTGCCTCACCTCCGTGTACTCCTTGTAGCCCTTGCTGGCCTCGGCCAGGCTCTCGCGTGCCTCCCGGCTGCCCGGAGAGCCCGTGCTGTACGCCTTGACCATGTTGTGGGCTCCATCGCGGAGCCGGCGCTGGATGCAGTAAGCCTCGTAGAGCTCATCTATCTGCAAGGACAGGCCCGAGCTGCGGCGAGGGGCAGGGCAGGGGACAGCACGGCTGCCCCGGCGCTGCGCCGAGGTGGCCCCGAGGTGACCTAGGTCCCCAG